AAAAATAAGTATATTCAACCCTTGACAATAAATCCTAAGGAAGGTAGAGGAGGAGGACCAGTAGAGGGAGGTTTGCCTTTGGAATGTGAAATAGTTCCTTCAAGTGAACCAAAGACTTACAGAGCAGGAGGTGACCTTAGAGATTTTTAAATTCACCTTGAAACTTAACAATAATAAACAGCTCCCTCAGACAAACAGAAATGAGAGGAAGAGTTTGAGCTGGTAATACAGAGAGGCTCTGGACTGTGTGGGAAAGTTGAACCAGGAAAATAATTTCACTTTTAAGAGGACTGGCATATGACCTTGAAGGGAAGACGCAAGATGGCATTGGCAAGGATGAAGGAGCACAGGCAAAACTAAGCCACTGCATATAGCATAAGTGTGTACATGTCTAATATTAAAACAGAATTTGCAATGAATTCCAAGGCTACAGAAAATTCTTTTGAAAGGCCAGACTTCTACATGATGGTTTTCTTTGCTTTAAGTTGGTCAGGCTAATTGGAATAGAATGTTTTAGTTAAAGCAAACACTCACTAGAACTCAAACCTAGTTATAACCTCCATTCAAATAAAAGTAAATAGAAATGGTCACAAATGTCTCTTTGTTTCTCTATTTGGAATATAAAGTATAGAATGTATACTATTGAGATTTGTTGTGGACATATTTGCAGTGTTATATATTTGGAATACAAAATTGAGAATGTACACGTTTGAGGTTTGTTATGGGCTTGTTTGGAGTGTTACAGGATGAAATACAACTCAGAAAACATGGTAAAAATTGCAGCAGCAAGCTTCGCTCCTGTTAAGTTTCTTTCCCTTATCCAAAGTCCTGTCATAAGCATAGGAGTGAGACAGTATTATTTAGGGGAAAATGGGAAGATGAGGAAATGGAGTTTTCAAAAGATTATTAGAAATGTATTCTTTTTTACCATTTGTTTGGAGGTTTTTGTTTTGTTTTAGATTTTGAAAGGGAAGTGCATGCACGTGGTAAACAATTCTAACATATTCAAAAGGCTATATACAATTTGAAAGTCAGTTAACTTTGCTAGAAGAAAACACTGTTAAAAGTTCCTTGTGTTACCTTGTGATACCAGAGATAATCTACATTTACAAACACACACACACACACATAATTATAATTTTGGATTTATAAAACCTTTGTGAGGGCTTCTCTGTCTGTCAGGTTTGCTTCAGAGCAACACCTGATTCACATGGCGTGGTCTTTACCATGTGGCCAAAATAATCTTCAAAGATTCAGCCAGGCCACCAGTCTCTACCTCTGTTACATACCCATAAGCCAAGCCATAGTAAGTAGGGGTAAGTAGGGAGAGATCCTGGGAATTGTAACAATGTGTTGTTCTCTTAGGAAAAGTAGGATATTAATACCTACCTCAAAGGATTATTTTAAGCACTGAAAGAAATAATATGAATAAAGTGCTTAAAACAGTGCCTGGCATAGAGTAAGTGCTACATAAGTGTCAGCTGTTGTCATCATCACTATTATTGTTGCCATTGTGAAAGAGGACAGCTTAGGGCTTCCTGAAGCTATTCCCTATTTTCTCTGGGTTTTCTTCACAGGTTCCTCCAAAGATAGGAGTTGCTGTCACTACTCTTCCTCTGGAATATTTTCTCCACAAGATCTAAACTGTGGAGACAGTTGGTAACCAAAATTGTACCTCAAAAGCTCTCCTAGACACATGGAAAACTTGTCTTCTCTGCCTGATGTTCGTCTCAAAGCATCAGTGATAAACTGTTTCATATGTTATTACTCACTACTGTTCTTGTAAAGATGATGGAAACACATGGACAGACCGCCAGCTCACCACACTTTCTGGAGAATTACTCAGCCCAGACGTGTTGTTTTCATCTCCTTTGTGTGACTCAGTTCCTCTTCATTCCTACACCTCTCACCACTTCTGAGGAGTTGCATGTTTCCAGCTGGCCACAGACATTGAACTGCCTTATCTTGCTGGCTACATCTGCATGCACCTGGTGCCACTAGGACAGGCTGAACTACACATTCACAGATTAAACTCCCTAAGCAACTCGAGTCTGCCATCTCATTCCCTTCGAAGCTCTTAGAGAAGGGGAAGCCAAGCTCACAGATATGCAGCACACCTTCTCTCACCTGTCTCTTTATTTGGGAGGGTGGGTGAATGACAACTAAGACAATTAGCATTTCCCTGCCAAGGAGTCTCATCACTGACATCTCTTCACTTCCTGGTTTCTGACAAACATAAATTGAACATTTGACTTCTGGTACAAATCTTTGTGCAATCACAGAGGGGCTTCCATGGGGATTAACCATAAAGCCCCACTTGCTTGACTCAATTCCAGTGACCTTTTCTACATTTCATTTATCCACATCCATGGCCCAAGCAGGGTCTTTTCATCACCCAGAACAGCTCTACTTCTGAAATCTTAAATTCGTGTATCCTACTCTTCAGCTACTTTTATTTTCCAGTAAGGGCTTTTACTTCCTCACCCATACTACTCTTCTATGGTATCTTGGTTTCTATCAGTTTATCAGTCCATCCTAATTATTTTTTCTGACTTACCTGGGCTCTGTAATCTATTATTGCAACCATTTTCTTTTCTCTAGTTTTAACTTGCCACATTCTGACCTGGTACCACCTGGAAATTTATGGTTTCCTGCTTCAGGAGAGTTATTGGTGCCACATGATAACTTCTTCAAGAGTTCCTGGCCAACTTTCTCTTCCATCTCCTCCTGTATATTCAGACATCTCTTCTCATCGATCACTGTCCTAACTTCGAATCTTCACTCCTTCCCTCTCCAATGGTTCTTTGTCCTCTGCACAATAATATGCTCAAACCTCCCATCATTTAAGAAACAGTCCCTCCACCTTATCTCTTTCTCTGTTTGTTGCCCTGTTTCTCCTTTTCTTTCTAACCAGGCCTTTTAAAAACAGTTTAAGAACAGTTTAAAAACTTTTTAAGAACAGTTTGCATTCACTGTCTTCACTTACTCTTTTCATTTTCACCCCTCAACACACTGACATCTGTTTCTGTTTCTGGGGTAGATCCTCTCCTACCCCTGTTTGTACCTTTGTCATAATATGAATCACTCTACTGAATCACCACTAGGCCTAAGTACCTCAAAATGTAGGATGTTGAATAACTTATCTATGTAGTCCCAGAGCCTAGCACAGTGCTTGATTGATAGGAGGTCCTCAATAAACAAATTATGTCACAAACACTTACTGGACACCTACTAGGAACCAAGCACTGTATTGGCTCTGTGGACTTGAATTCATCACAAAACCTATATTTAAGCAACTTTTTCTCACAGAACCTTTCTTTCCTTTGCGAATGTCAAGTCAATATATTTAATTAAGCCACACAACCCTTGCCCTGTGCCGTTTCTTTACTCATAATGGTCATTCAACATTTGTTGAATGAATGCTTGATAGAACTCAGCAGACCCAAAAAGACTAATTGTGAAGAGTTGCTGTAGGAAATGGCCAGAGAGAAGCCTGTTCTGAAATCTGGTTCCTTAAGGAGAGCTTTTCAGGCTTTCAAAACCATTTCTGAGCAGTTCTCTAGAAATACATTCATTTTTAACTCTATCCCAACATGGCTGATAGTTTTTGGTAAGCCTGTTTACAACCTCTCCATTTCCTTTGTCTTCAATTTCTCTCCCCTCTCTCCAGTCTTTCCCTCTACACCTATTAGACAGGTGCAAATATCTCTCCTAGCCACAAATAAGACCTAAATTAGAAACCCTCTCTGGATCCGAAGTTTCCACATTACCTAGTATCCTTCCTTTCTCCACTAATATTCTGCAAGAATAGTTTGAACTTTCTAGTCCCATTTCCTTCTTCCGGTTGGTTCCTACACCAAGTAGTCAGAAAGGCTAGGATATGAATTAGAATGGTCAGGGAAGGGTTTCATGGACAAGTAAGGGCATAGGACACAGAAGAATTTTGTGAATAAAGTGCAGAATATGGAAATGTATTGGGGAGGTATTAGGTTTTCCTATTTTATTTTTCATCTGTTTTATAATATTATTTTTTTAAGTAGGTAACACATGTATATGATACATAGTTCAAAAAATGCCAAGTGAAAGTAAGGGTTCTTCCCAATCCTACCAAGTTCCCTTTTCTAGAGGCAATCACTGTTAAAAGTTTCAGTTCTTTATGTATCCTCCCAAAGATGCATTTATAAATATTTACATATATGGAGTGCCTTGACAATATGGTAGAATACAATAAGAAGGGCAGTGTGAACTGACAAGCACAGAAGAGGCATTGAGGAATTAGGGAATATCATCTTCCCTCCAACATACTCTTCCTCTTAAGTCCCCACCTTCATTAACAGCCTTTCCATCTTCCCAAGCTGACCCAGGCTCAAAGACACTGAACATTGATAGGAAACCTGTTACTAACCAGAGTCCCAGTGGTTTTCTGTACATCACAATTAAGCCAGTTAACATTACCTCCATACCTGCCACTGCTATTTTCAATTTTATTTTGAAAATATAAGTCACATGTATCTACTCCTCATCTTCACTACCCCATCCTCCATTAGGCCCTCATGACTTCTTCAAAATTGGAATACCTGTCTTCTTTATACGGTTTTTAGGTACGTTTGGTAAAATGAAATAAGTATGGTAACAATTAGCAGGCTCATCAAATATTTGTTCCTTTCTCCTCTCCCCAATATCTCCCAGCCACCCTACCACTCCACCACCCCATCAACCTTAATCCACTCCCCATATTACGTACTTGGTTTATCAAAACAATGTCAAATTCTTGAAATTTTTCTGTATCTATCCTATATTGATCCCAAGATCAGAGCTTCAGAATATGAAAACTTACCTGAAGGAAAGGCACTAGGAAATTCCAAATACAGCTGTCCCAAAGGAAAACCACTCAGTACCTCTCAAAGGCATTGCCTTTATAGTATAGGGTAATATCATTGACATTTAGAAACTAAAATGGTTATGATCTAACCTGCATTTTTCCCCTAGAAAAACCCTACCTATTCATGACTCAGTTTGAATTCCACCTTCTTCTTGAAGTCTTCCAAGATTCTGCCCATGTTAACTCTTTCCACCCAAGTCTTAATGAATCTTACCTTTCTCTGTATTACAAAAGGTGGAGGAAGAGAGGGAGGAGAGGGGAGATAAAGGAAGACATGGGATGGGGAGTGAGAAAGTGATACCCAAATCCTTGTTCTGACAAAACTCATTGTCCCACCTCCTAAAATATGCCCAACTGAGTAATGTTAAAGTGATGGTTACCAAGCAGCAGGTAAGGGTATCCTCTAGACCCCCTAGTTCCTGGTTAACAATTAAAGACATGTAAAATAAAATATACTTTACTCTTGAATAAGCTTATTTATTTTCATGTTGATTTACTTTTGCACATATGATTTTGGCATATTTTAATTTCCATTATCTGTATCATAATCTGATTCATTTCAATTAAATCATGAACATTTTCCCATGTCATTAACTTTTCTTTAAAATATTCTTAATAGTTTTGTAAGTCTCTCATCTTGTTTCCATCTGTAATATATTTGTTCCCCTATTTTGGGGCATTTTTCTTTTTATTCCCATTTTTGTTTTTACAAATAATGTTATTTGAAGGTATGTAAATCTTTACATGAATCTCTTATTTATCTGAATCTCTATACTTAGAGATGTTGATAGATAACATTAAACTCTTCCAAAAATGATGTACCTACCAATCTAACCCACTGGCACTGTACAAGAATGACCACCTCATTGTACTCTCAGCAGCATAAACTATTATTTTTTCTATTTTTTTCTAATTTGATAGGTGACAAAAATGACATGTCATTATTAGTTTTTCTTTTCCTTTTTTGGGGGGGAGGGGAGATGGAATCTCACTCTGTCACCGAGGCTGGAGTGCAATGGCACGATCTTGGCTCACTGCAACACCCGCCTCCTGGGTTCAAGCTATTCTCCTGCCTAAGCCTTCTGAGCAGCTGGGATTACAGGCGCCCACCACCGTGTCCGGTTAACTTTTTTATTTTCAGTAGAGACAGGTTTTCGCCATGTTGACCAGGCTGGCTGGAACCTCTGACCTCAGGCTATCTGCCCGCCTCGGCCTCCCAAAGTGCTGGGATTACAGGCGTGAGACACCGTGCCCAGACAAGAGTTTTTCAATAATGTTAATATATGTGGTTTGTTTTTCCTGTTCTGTTAATAACTTATACACCTCCTTTGCCCATTTTTATTGAGATCTTCCCATTTTTCTTATTAATTACATGTATTTTGATATAATCAACATGTTAGATAATAATTATTATATGCAGTTGATTCTTATTATTCACAGTTGCTATGTTTTATAAAGCCACTACAAACACTGAATTAATAAATACTGAACCACTGCTCCTGGAGAAATACATAGTTAGGCTCCTGTGAGCCTCTGGTCACATTTTCATCAACCCATCAAAACACAATCTTTGTTTATGTGTGTTTCTGTTTAAAGACACCTTATTTAAGCCACACACAAAAACACAAATATTGCATGTTCTCACTCATATGTGGAAGCTAAAAAAAAAAGAACTCGTGGAGATACAGAGTAGAATGACAGTTACCAGAGGCTGGAAAGGGTAGTAGGAAGTCAGGGGATAGAGATGGGTTGGTTAATGGATACAAAAATACAGTTAGATAGAAAGAATAAGAGCTAGTGTTCGATAGCACAATAGGGTGCCTATGGTGAACAATAATTTATTGTATATTTCAAAATAACTAAAACAGTGAAATTGGAATGTTCCTAACACAAAGAAATAATAAATTATTGAGGATATGGATTCCCTAATTACCCTTTTTTGATCATTACATGTCACATGCTTGTGTTAAAACATCACATGTACCCCCAAAATATGTACAACTATTATGCCATCTATGCTTATGGTTTTATATAATTCCTCCTTGGCTATTGATTCTCAAATGTATGCATCCAGATGGGATAGTTCTCTGGAGTTTCAGCCTTCCCTAGATCTCTCCAAGTAGATTTTCCACAGGAACCTAAAACTCTACTTGACTGAAATATAACTATTCTTCTCATTTTCACAAATGAAGAATCTGAGGCTCAACGAAGTTAAAGAATTTCCCCTGGGTCCCAGTAAAGAAATTAAACCCAATCTGTCTGACTCTGAAGCTTATGCTCTTTCCATTTTTGTTATACTGCCTTTTATAATATTAAAGAGAAAAAAAAAACCCAGAACATTACATATATATCTTGTAGCTCTGAAACAGAGTAGCAAGTTTTACTGCAGAATTGATCCTTCCTGCTCTAAGAAGCTTGAATCCTGAATTTTCTAGATTACATTTTAAGAAATAAATCCCTTGAAAATCGGGGGCAAAAATTATTAAGTGGAAGAAGCTGGAGAAGTCCCTTCCACTCTCTGTATCACATTTTCCTTGATATTTAAAAAAAAGATCTCTACATTCTCTTACAACTGTGCCATTATGAGAGTCTGTGGAAGACAGAGCTCTGTATAAGGTACAGACATTATGAATAAATGCTCATGCCATTCAGCCTGTGTAATAGCTCAGCTGCATTCCAACACCATTCTCCAGGACCTGCTGGACTAAAGGCTGATCATATATCTTCATGATATTCTCATCTACTCCAGGCACCCAGCCCAGCATGATGCACTTGTCCACACAGCCCTGACTCACCTCTGGCAATACCAGCTCTTTATTCAACTGGAGAAGTAATCAGGTAAAAGTGGAAATTCCATGACATATTTCCCCACACAGGGTTCTGATATGTGCCCCCCCCAAAGTCACTTACTAGCTGCATGACCTTGGATTTGTCACTTAATCTCTCTGACCCTCAGTTTTCTCATCTGCAAAAGAATTAAGAAATAATGCATGTAAGAGCACCAGGCATATACTAGGTACTTAATAAATGTTCTCTTCCTTCAACATCATCCTTTAATGCCATGACAGGGTTTCCTTGGATTCACCAGCTACTATCAAGGTCTAACCTATACATTTTTTTGATCATCGCCCCCAGTATAAACCAAAGAACATTTAGCCAGATATGGTGGCATGTGCCTGTAGTCCCACCTACTCAGGAGGCTGAGGCAGGATAGCTTGAGCCCAGGAGTTCAAGGCTGCACTGAGCTATAATTACACCACGACTGCACTCCAGCCTGGGGAATGGAGCAAGATCTCAAACACAAAAACCAAAACCAAAACAAAACCCGAAGAAATGCCACTCATGGTGATTCTTAATTTACTTAACTGTAGCAATTCAGGCTGCATTTGAGTTCTTATAGCAAACTTAAAGTCATAACACGTAGTCAGCGAGCATCTGCTTAAATGCTTCCTGTGACAGGGAACTTAGTCCCTTCTAACACTGCCCATTTCATCTTCAATCAGCTCTGCTGTAACTTCCACCCAATAATCTTAATTTTGTCTCTTGGAGTCAAACCTTACAAATAAAATTCTCTTTCTCATGACAACGCTGTAGAAACTGGAAGACAGTAGCCATGCCCCCACTCCAGACTCAAGGCTTCTCTTAATCTCTATTTTGTATGTGTTCCTCTTTGAAAGATAACTGCCATATCTGAGCAAAATACTTGAGGTATGGTTTTACAAACTCAGCAACAAACCAACATACTATACTACTATTAATGTAGCCTCAATTTCCATTAACTTTTTCGGCAGCCACATTAAACATAGACCCATCCTGTAGAGTTGCTATTTATTTTTTTAATTTTTAATTTTTTTTATGAAACTGGTGCGAGATATCATATTTTTTATCAAATTTATTTTGTTATTTTTGGACCATCTTTGCAATTTAGTACATTCTTGGATTCCTGGTTCTATCATCCATCATATATATTTACCCTCGCTTTACAGTTCTCTCTTAACACTTAATGAGTATACTGTTATTGCATCTCCATCCAAGCCATTAATTAAAATGTTGAAACCAAGGTGAAGTCAGGTACAGAGCCCTACAACTCACCACCAATGACTTCTCTTTGTAGTAGTGAAGCAAAATTTTCTCCTACCTCAGTATACCTGACAGACCTTTCCACCATCGATTTACGTTAATCACAATAGCTCACAAAACACCAGAGATACCCGAGGAGTGGCAGGACTCCTTAGAAGAAAATTCAATAAAGGGAAAAGCCTGTGTAGTTTGGAGAAACCTTTATCCAAGTGATTCTGATAAATCTCTTAGAGAATGTGCCCTCATCTCTTGCCCTTTTTAAGAATTCCTACCTCAGGGAAACATAGAATAAATAATTAGCAACTTCTGAAAATGGTTTCTTCATCTGTATGTTGGAGCTAATAATATACAGCTCCTAGGGCTGTTATGAGGACTAAATGACTAATACATATAAAGTACTTAGCACAATGCCTGGTATGTAATAAGTGCTCAACATAAGTAGTACTTAAAAAACCTTTCAGACTCCAACTAAAGGAATAATCTTCTAGCTTATGTTTCCTCCATCTTGTTCACCAGGGTGTCATAAAAATAAACATTTTTGTCATGTTCCTTTCTGCGATGTAAATAAACTATCATCATTGCCTCCCGCATCTATTCGTTAAATGACTGTATGCAAAAAAGCCACATTTCCCAGCCCACAAATCTGAGTACAGGACACAGTCCCTGAGGGGCTATAATAGCCACAAATATATTAAAATTTAATATTTTCAAGCTGAGGTTCTACCGTATTGTCTGACTCCCATCCACCCACTACCACCCCAACTATGAATGACAGAATCAAGACCTTCACATTCTTGAAGGCCCACATCATTTCCCTTCCTGTTGCAACGTTACCTGATCCTGCTGTTTTCAGTAATGGTGACAGAATCCAGGTAAGGTAATCCAGATTGGCCATGCAATATGATAATTCCAAGATGTCTATGGCTGCAGGACAGATTGTGATACTCCACTCTGTTCATACACATATCTCTCTGTTCACACTTATATTGTGATATCCCCACCTCCCAACCCCCACCTTGGGTCACTTTGGGTTGCATGTCATATCTCAGGACTTCTGGTAATCAAAAGTGGATGCTGAAGTAGGACAAGAGCTGTATCTGGAATCAAAGAAATCTATGAGCCTGTAACATTGGAAAACAT